TGAGATCTATATGCTGGAATATTATTATTATTATTATTATTATTATTATTATCCGCATCTTCTTGCAGCTTGGAATATGAAGGTTTCTCTTTTGCACTTCTTTCCATTCCTTCCAACTTCCTGGTTCTCCGAGCATTAGATTCGAGCAAATAGAGTAACTGCCAACGCTAAGCCTCTGGCAAGAAGACACAAGCACTCTGCACATGCTCATGGATACATGTCGGAAAACATTACCTCTTCGAAACACGAAAATTGGAAAGACAAGAGCGGGAAGGGCATTCATTGATGGCAACCGACGAAACCCGCGCCCCCGAGGCTATAAATACCGAGGCATTTGGTATTTACTCCCTCTCGTAAGTAAACACGGAGGGTGTGTGACCCGTCTCTGTTACTTTACGCAGGCCAAGAATGTAGAGCGGACACAGCCGAAGTCCTCCCAAAGGGGAAACCGGGACACAGGGAACCCAGAAATAGCAAAGCCGAATCCTACGCCGACGATCATGCCACCACCACCCAAGCAGGGACCTTGGAAATGGTTGAACGGATGCTCTCCGAAGTTTTAGGTGCTCTATTACAGGGAAAACCAGCTGATTCCTAATGTTTAATATTGACACAAATGACCAGCCACTGCCCAAAGGGATAGAGAGTTTCATCTATGCCGACGATCACGCCATCAACACCCGAGCAGGGAGCTTTGAAATGGTTGAACTGAATCTCTCCCAAGCTTTAGGTGCTCTTACTGCCTATGACAGGGAAAACCAGCTGATTCCTAATGTTTAACATTGACACAAATGGTCAGCCATTGCCAGAAGAGACAGAGAATTTCATCTACGCCGACGATCACACCATCACCACCCAAGCAAGGAGCTTGGAAATGGTTGAACAGATGCTCTCCAAAGCTTTAGGTGCTCTATTACAGGGAAAACCAGCTGATTCCTAATGTTTAATATTGACACAAATGACCAGCCACTGCCAGAAGGGACAGAGAGTTTCATATATGCTGACGATCACACTATCAACGCCCGAGCAGAGAGCTTGGAAATGGTTGAACGGATGCTCTCTGAAGCTTTAAGTGCTCTTACTGTCTGTTACAGAGAAAACCAGCTGATTCCTAATGTTTATATTGACACAAATGACCAGCCACTGCCAGAAGGGACAGAGAGTTTCATCTACGCCAACGATCACGCCATCAACGCCCGAGCAGGGAGCTTGGAAATGGTTGAACAGAAACTCTCCGAAGCTTTAGACACTCTTACTGCATATTACAGGGGAAACCAACTGATTCTTAATGTTTAACATTGACACAAGGGATAGAGAGAAGGGGTAGAGAGTTACATCTACTCCAACGATCATGCCATCAACGCCCGAGCAGAGAGCTTGGAAATGGTTGAACGGATGCTCTCCGAAGCTTTAAACACCCTTACTGCCTATTACAGGGAAAATCAGCTGATTCCTAATGTTTACATTGACACGAATGACCAGCCACTGCCAGAAGGGATAGAGAGTTTCATCTATGCCGATGATCACGCCATCAACGCCCGAGCAGGGAGCTTGGAAGTGGTTGAACGGATGCTCTCTGAAGCTTGAGGTGCTCTTACTGCCTATTACAGGGAAAACCAGCTGATTCCTAATGTTTAACATTGACACAAAAGGCCAGCCACTGCCAGAAGGGATAGAAAGTTTCATCTACGCCGACGATCAGGCCATCAACGCCCGAGCAGAGAGCTTTGAAAGGGTTGAACAGAAGTTCTCCGAAGGGTTAGACGCTCTTACTGCCTATTACAGGAAAGACAGCTGATTCCTAATGTTTAACATTGACACAAGTGATAGAGAGAAGGGATAGAGAGTTTCATCTATGCCAACGATCACGCCATCAACGCCCGAGCAGGGAGCTTGAAAGTGGTTGAACGGATGCTCTCTGAAGCTTTAGGTGCTCTTACTGTCTGTTACAGGGGAAACCAGCTGATTCCTAATGTTTAACATTCACACAAGTATACAAATAATGTAAATAAATAAATAAATAAATAAATGGCCAGCCATCGTCAGAAGGGAGAGTTTAATCTACACTGATGATAATGCAATCACCGCTCAAGCAGAGAGCTTTGAATTGGTTGAACAGAAGCTCTCCAAAGCTTTAGGTGGTCTTGCTGCCTATTACAGAGAAAACCAGCTGATTCCTAATGTTTAACATTGACACAAATGACCAGCCACCGCCAGAAGGGATAGAGAGTTTCATCTACACCAACGATCACGCCATCAATGCCCGAGCAGAGAGTTTGGAAGTGGTTGAACGGATGCTCTCTGAAGCTTGAGGTGCTCTTACTGCCTATTACAGGGAAAACCAGCTGATTCCTAATGTTTAACATTGACACAAGGGATAGAGAAAAGGGATAGAGAGTTTCATCTACGCCGATGATCACTCCATCAACATCCGAGCAGGGAGCTTTGAAATGGTTGAACGGATGCTCTCCGAAGCTTTAGGCACTCTTACTTCCTATGA